AGATGAATACATATGAATATACGCAGTACATGCTCCTGTGACTGTTCGGATGAAACACAGGGAGCAATGTCAACCCGGTATTTACATTTCCTTGACATCTCGTCCACTTTTCAGAGCTCCCACTTACCCTTCCTGTGCTGGTTGACTACAAAGAGTAGAAGGCTGCAGCAGCAGCACTTTGAGATGCCGTAGCTACGCCATCCCACATTCTCCACTAGCTGAAAATTAAGTCAAACCACACAGAGATATAGCATTTTTTTTTCCCCCTACATAATTGCCTCTTGCTTCTTTATGAAAACAGACTGGTATGAGATGTGATACATTCTTAAAACACTCTAAATCAGTTTCCTTTATTTTGGCTGGAACGAAGCATTCTCAAAAAATTTCAGCCGCGCTCTGCCCAGCCTTCAGCACAGTCTGTACGACAGCCAGTCATCAAGAAGATTACCGAGCCTGCACTCTCTCTCACTCCAGTATGTTTTACCTATCAGCAGTAAATATTATGATTTAGTATCTCCTGACCTAAGGACTTCACGACAAAATACTAAATATCATCTTGCTCACAGCTCGCATAAAATTTTAATAAACACATTCCTTAAACACATTCCTACGTGTTTTGTCATTGGTACTACGCACGGTTCTGTTCTTTCAGCTTGCATGTTTCGGCGTCTGAACAAAAACTTGAGAAATCGTCTTAACTTTTACAATAAATAACTATCAAACACACACACATTTGTGCTACACACTGTTACATGTGTACATTCCCTCATATTATATTTGGTAGACCAAATCAAAACATATTATCATTATCTTCAGCCAAGCTGTTTTACATACCCCGCTTTTTCTCTTCCCAAAGAACAGGAGTTTCAAATGTCAGAGGAGCAAAATCAACTCCCACACAACTTCAGATAAGCACTGTAGCTCTCTGAACTTCTTGGGAAGGTTGAAGGAAACAGCTTGACAAGGTTTGCACTCTGAAAACTGCATGAAGGAGGGGACAAAAAAAACCCAGCTCCCCAAGGAAAACTATTGGCTGATGTATTTCTTAGCCTGGAAACCCTACCTCTGTGTTACTTACGCGTTTATCACAGTGTTATATCACGAGAAATTGCTTTTCTGAGTTTTTTATTACAGGAGTAGAAAATTAAATTAGAATAACAAGCTAGGTAAACACTTATCTACAACAGAAACTCCATTTTTCTTTAGATAAGAGTGAAGCAATCATTAATCTACAGGCCAGTCTAGCATTCAGCATTATTACAAGTTTCACATTTCTCTCACCAAAGTAAGCCTATTCCTTTCTTCTCCTGCTCTCCTGGTTTTCAGTATGCCAATAAGGCAAATAAACTCCTAGCACTACTTTATTGGCTTTATTAATCTGATCCATTGTAATTTCGGGGGTTAATTTCTATGCTAAGACTTTAATAATAACAAATCTAAAGAGACTAGAAGTATTTTCTTAAGCTCCACAAACATATGAATCATTAAACAAACATCTTCTCTGAAAAAGGCACAACCCAGCAGGGCTGCTACACATCCACACTTCCTTCAATATTAACATTTTAATAGGTGATGACTGATCATAACATTAGGAATTCAAATGTACAGACAAAGGCTGCACAGCAGTGAGCAGCCTCCACTGCACGTAAAAAGTGAACATGGTTTATCAAAGCAAAATTCTCTCTTGATCCTCTCTTGGGAGATTAAGCAGAGAAAAATTTTAATGAGTCTCAGTGGTGGTATCTACTACGGGAAATATGACAAATCAAAACTAACCAGAATGCCTCATACGTCAAACTAAAAGGCAAAAGGGGTAAAATAAATAGAGAACGAATAAAAAGTTTTTCAGGAGCAGGAAGATTAAAAAAATCCAAACCAAACCCAACCCCCAACAAACAACAACAAAAACCCACGAAAAAACACACCTTACATGACACACATACACCTGTAAAACTCAAAGAACTTTCGAACAAACATCCTAATGCCTTCTTCCTAAGCTTCCTTTATTACAG